ATTATTAAAGTGTCATGTTACAGGGTTAGGGCAGAGAGGGTAGGCCCTGAGTAGGGACGTAGAAATTACCTCGAAAGCTAGGGATGGTGAACCCAAGTGCATCGTTATCCAAATTACAATGTGTACGTAAACGGCTACTTTCGGCCATGAGAGTGATATGTACAAAGTGTATATATATTAGTAGACGAGAGTAGACCGAGTGAAGGGGATGTGTGGTGTTAATGACTTACCCCCAGTCACACTCTCTATTTCACCGTTCTTCCATCTCCCAGGGTAGAGATACTGTGAACACACAGCCAAGAGGTAGTTAACGAGTCAAGTACCATGTGCTTAGCCTTGAAACTGGCCATTCCCCAAGGGAGCAACGGCATGGAAGGCGGAAGAGGTGGAGAGATCCCTCCACGCCCTCCGCGCCATGACATATGGTGACAGCGGTGGGATACCTTCAAGCCCCCCTGTCACCACGGCGTAACATAGGCAATCTACGTCAAAATTTAGAATGTACAATTATTCTTCTGGAAAAGAATTTGTAGATTGAATTTGTTGGGTTTTTTTAGATTTTTTTGGAATAAAACATAAAAGATGAGATTAAAGAAAAACCTCATTCTACAAATTCTGAGCTTTCGAATGAGGAGCAAATAATATTATTTGAAACTCTTAATCTAGAACACATGAATATTTAAGAATTTTAGAACCAGACGATCAGTTACTCAACGTTTGTAAACGACTTGCCGAAAAATCAGTATTTCACTACACATAACTTCGAGATCTCTCTATAGGTACATGAGGACATTTTAATCTTATACTCGTATATATATATCCGCATGAAAAAACTGAGAGGTCAACTGTGTTTACAATGTCATTTGATTTCGAATCCAAGTGTCTGCAAAATTTGACGATACACGTATTAATGTAATTATATAAAGAAGTAGTATCATTTTATGTTATGCTCTGTTTTATTTTCAGAAAAGCAACACAAAAGTTTCAGTCGTTGACCTAACGTTTCTTATATCAGACGTCGCTTTCTGCAGTAATTAGTCTGGGGACTCTTACGACTCTGTCATGACAGAACAACTGCGGGCTGAAATAAAATGCAGCTTTCAGTGTTCTGCACCATATGACAGAAATTATTAGGTTACATAATTATATCGTATTTAAGGTCATCATAGTGTTCTTGGTTCGATTTCAGAGAATTCGAAATTCGAATAGACCTGAATTTTGTTTATTCTTGCAGTGATTTGTTAAGTTTGTAAACTGACTGCAGAGATGGCAGTTCATCAGTAATGCAAGTTCAATTCTTCGTCTCGAGAGTTTCTGTAACAGTCGTGACTTCAATTCCAAGCCTCGGTAGTAGTCAAAAACGAAACAGAACTAAAACTTTGTCCAGTTCTTTAAGAACAAATTAAGCGAATGTAATGTTAAGACGACACTAAGAGAATTCAAAGTAATTAGAGAAGAACAAAGAGAGACAAAGTAAAGGGAAAGTAAATTAATTTGAAAGATTAACATCGAAATGAATGTGTTGACATATTGCTAATCCAGCTGAGTGCGTAAGCAGACGCTAGCTAAACATATAAGAGTGTTAAATGATACCATCTCCATCACATTAAGTGTTCTATAATTTCGGAACAGTTCAAAGCGAATTCAGAAGTTCCCTGTTGTTACATAGAATTTACCTTCAGGATATTAACCTAATACACGGCAGGTGCGGAATTGTAACTAATATTCTGAATAATATTCTAAATCACTGATATCTCATATGAAGTCGAAAAAAGATAAGTTGTTTTTGAAGAGAAACGTTAATTTTAACAACAGAATTTACAGTGACTTTGAATACAAACACAACAAAACCATTAATGCAATATCTCACACGACTGAAGATTCGTGGGTTGGGAATGTGACTCAGACTGAATATGATAAGATTTCGAAGAAACACGACGAAGAAGCGTTTCACAACCAACTGAAACCGTTATTAATCATGTTGCGGGCGCTTGGGTGTTTCCCGGTGGATTTTCCAACATCAGGTCAGTGCATGGATAATCATATTAACAAAGTTATAAAGTTAATTTGGTGCAAACTCATTTCTCAATTATTTTTCTAAATCAACATCGCCCCCTTTAGAATAACATCTGATGCAGCACACTTGCCCGGCGAATCTTTCATGCCTCATAGCAGGTTTTGTAAGTTGGCTTCTGACAGGTTCTTGATGGCTTAAGTATCAGCCTTCTGAACTCTGTCAGCTGTTTGAAAATGATAGTCATTGTCTCTCAGTTTTAATTTTGGAAATAAGTGAAAATCAAAGGGTGAGAAATCTGGAGACCACGGAGTCTGTGGAAGCACGAGAATGCACTTATCGCCAGAAATTCACGAACTGGCGACGCTGTGTGCGCGTGCGCGTAGGCGTGATCAGGAATCCAACCGTCTACAATTTCCATTCGGACTCGCATCACACTCTTTCTCAGACGGTCCAGGACTTCAAGACAACATCTCCGACTTACTGTAAGAATTCTTTATGAAGTACTAGGCCTCTCGGTTTCAGGGTTGTATTAGAAAAATCAATTTTCGTCACCTTTTATGACCCGAGTAAGAAACTATGGTTCAGTTTCGAGCCGTTCAAGCACTCCTGATGACCGTTCCTTTCGATGCGATTTTGGGTAGTCATCCAAATTTGGGCAACATCTTTGCGCACAATATTCTCATGTTCCAATCTTGCGTAATAATTTGGTGGGCGGTACATTCATGAGTATTAAGTTCATCGGCAATCATTCGAATTGTCAGNTGCCCTAAGTGTCCAAGTTTCAGCCCCATACAAAGCAATGCTCCAAATGTAGCATTTCACTAGTTTCTTTCTCAAATTTAAGTCCAATTTGCTGGTAAAAAGATACTTCTTCTTGCTAAATGCAGCTTTTGCCATGGCAATTCTAGATTTAATTTCACACTTACACCTTCCATCATCTGTTAACAAGCTACCCAAATATTTAAAACATTTCACATTCTCCAGTTCGAACTTTATATATATATAAACAGAAGGGAAATTCTTCACCAAATTCAATACATTTATACAGAAACAAAAATTTTTCTTGTGACCAACTTTACTGACAGAATATTAAATATCATCTCTACAATTTTATTTACTTACTCACAGTATTGTATTTAAGCACCCTGTTGCGTTAATGTATACTTTATACTCATATATACAGCAACGAGGATACTCATAATTAAATAACTTAAATGAATGGACGACGATCACAATGGAAGAACATTAAGATGTGAGTTAATTTTAATTCCAATAGTAATTATTTTATCAGAAAAAATCGCGTTAACCAGTGATATTTAAATATGACATACGGTGCAACAATGTTAGCAAGCGAGACACTTGATGATGGCCGTAAGCGACTGAAACGTATAGTGAGGAAGAAGGGTGACTTGATAATATGTTACACTTAAGACGGAAGTATATATGTACAAAAGATTTACTTAATCAATTCTTCCTTAATTGCAGGTGTCCCTAGGTATCGTTCTCTCTCTCCGGCCTTAGCGTATTCTATTTGTTTGTACGCGGCAATCAACGTTTCAGCTCTTTTTAACATCAGGCACCACCTTCTGCAGTTACTCAAGAAAGATAATGATTTCAGAGATTCCATTTACACTTGTAAGTTCATAACCATGTTGGCCAACTGTACATGTGTTCCTGTATTAGGGTGGCTCGATACACCGACAGTCGTTCAGTACTTCAGGAAATGGGAGCATTTTCAGGTACGCAGAACTTCAAAATTCCTGAATTCTGATAAGAAGATTAAACTGTTCATTTTCGTGGTTCGCTACTCTATTTTTCAGACGAAAATTGAATAACATATTCTATGGTTTTTCGTAATTTTTCGTGGAGTGCTTAATTTTGTCGATAATTACGAGCGTTGTACCATGAAATAATTATGTCACGAAATTGGATATATTTTCATAGTACAAGACTAAAATTTTCATGAGAATTTTATGATGAATTTCTTCAATTACACAATTTGTGCGTCCTTTGTCGCACCCAATGCCCCTTTTACGTATGTATGCAAAAATAAGGAGAAGTCCGGCTCCTTCTTCGTCTGTCTATAATTTTGTGTACGTGAGCTCAAAAACAGGCCGTTTCAAAGCGTAAATATAATTTTCTTAGTGTCTTTCCCCTCAAAAACCTATATTCTGAAAGTCACAAAACTTGAGCGTCCAAGAACATGGAGGCCTTATGCATGAGAGAAAAAACTTGTGAAATTGCAGTACAGATTCTCACGAACTATATAGTATATTCGCTCGAAGCAAGACTTGTGTGGAATCACAACAGCCGACCGTTACTTGGAAGTGGCTAGTAAACAACAGAAGAATGGTAATTTCTGCGCAGTCCGTGCCAGGGCTGTATAATGAGTTGAGTGATTAGGCGTAAGTCACCGGTCAGATCAGTAATGACTTATGCTTCCCCCGTTTGGGAATTTGCCGCAGACACCTACCTCCTATAATCGCAGCGCCTGCAAAAATGGTTTAATGCACCATTGGACATTTTCCAAAGGTGCGTACCAGTCCGCGCATTGCACACGGCTTTCAAACTTCCATATGTATACGCTTATATAACAACATTGTGCAGGCAACAAGCAGAAGTCATACCAGTAGATTCTAAAGGATTCTTACGATGGTGTATAACACTCAGAGTTATTCGTCCAGTGACTGAGTTTAGTTCTTTCTAAGGGACCCAAAAGAGTAGGTGTCTCCCACTCAACTGAGGGCGGAAAGAGATCCAGTTTCCGAAACCTTGTATTTTCCAGTTTCTAGAATACCGGACGATGGACAAAGTCCGAAAACCCATGAAGTTTGAGCAGTCACAGAAAATCATGAAAATGAACTTTGTTTTTTTGCAGAATAAGACAATGCGAAGCCAGATATAGAAAATATAAGAGGCGTAAAGTAGCTTACGACCGTTCAAGTGACTAAGCTGCCGTTGTAGCGTAAGATAGATAGACATGACCTGCTGTGCGAAGCCTGGACTGAGAGGGGCTTATATGTAGTGCACAAGGAAGAAGATCCAGTAACATGCCATATGTGTGAAACATACACTTGACAAAGGTGAAGCATATTCATGAGAGACAGATATATCCTCTCGCCAGAGAGGGTGTTGCATAAGGACTTTGGCCGAAACGGTTCAGTAGCAAAGAATATGTCTGGTCGTGAACCTCAAGTGACTTGCCGCCAAGACGAACTGATTGATGGTAAACCACCAGTCGTAAAGTAACCTTACCTTGACTTTGACAGTTGGGGAACTCAGAAGAAGAGGGACGCCCGCCGATGGAAGCCGCTACCAGATGACTGCAGTGTGTGCTCTACTGAACTCTAAATTGCGTCAGTTAGTGAAACGGCTATAGTTACTTGTAGTCACGGATCTGCAGGAGTTCAATAAATCCGATTACAAATCCAAACTTCGTCTGCAGTCACACAATCAGGTGACAACTGCTGTCAGAATTGGGATTGGATTGAAATGCTGGATTGAAGGATGTAGTAGATAATTGTATCGCCATATCAGCAAGTTTCATAAGGTCCGGTCCAGAGTTTCAAAAGTTGTTACGTACAGATACATACAGACTTCCAGGTGATCTCTTAAAATTCCTTTAATTTGCTTTACAAAATGAGGAATGAGGGCTGAAAAATTGTTACGTATTCTGTGGATTCTAATGGCGATTGTCGTGTCCCTAATCCATTACTATCAGAGATATACATGATAACGTATTGTAGCGTCCTGCTGCACTTTTCACTTGTGTTGATCATTCACCATCCTACGTGCAGCACTACGTTCCACAAAACTGATCACATTCATAAGCTTCAGAGTTCATTAGGTTTTTAAATACACTACATGTTTCGGACAACATGGTTATCATCAGGTGTTAAAAATACGTGTATATTTACTGAGGAAATCGTTGCTTTCGTTTGTTGCTCATGCCCACTTGTATCAAAGAGACGGCATATGCATCAGCAACAAGTGAAAGCAGCGATTTCCTGATTAGCCATGTTTTTAAAACATAATGAAGTCCATTTTGCCCGAAAAATGTAGTGTATTATAAAAATGTAATCAACTTTTGAACTTGTAAAGGTGGTAAATTTTGTGGAACGTAGTGTTGCACGTAAGACAGTGAAAGATCGACCCAAGAGATATACACTTATATGTACTTCTTCCGAGGTAGAGAGCACTGGAAGTCAGTTCTCATGTGTTATCTTTCAGATGATGTTCGTAAATGTAACTCGTGAGCATTTAGTTCTAAACACCAAGACGTGCACTACTCACCGAATCATTCTCATGTGCATCGCGGCGACTTCGATGTTCCTACTGAAATTCTTCCCGCCATATCTTCAGTTCTGGCACCTTCCGTGTCACTGCGTGTCTCTCCTTATGCTCAGCACAAACACCATCGTGTTCACCATTATGTTTCGGTGTCTGGTCACAGCTGGCACAAGTCTGAACAAATGTTTCCAGGTGAGGATGTACTCGTAGAATCACAAAGATGTTTCTTTTTATTTTGTGCCTGCCTCCTCACTCTTTATTGTCCTACTACAAAACATTTTTCTTGGCTTCTTATTTTACATAAGGATACTTTAACAACTGCATAATTCGAATGGCATAATTACCGTGAATGATGAACTGTAAAACTTTGAATGTCTTCTGCATATTCGAATGACCTATCAATGAATCTCTAAGTATATAGGAAACGAGGAATCCAATATTAGGGTAGCCGGCCTCTGATTAGACAATAAACCACGGTATATAGTTTTGTTTTCATATCCCCCGTTTTATTAAGATCTCTCTAGAGTTACTGAAATTTCTGAACACAAGCACTAATTATTCTACCTCAGTTTTCGGTTAGAAATCATAATATTAAAACAACACAGCGAAAAATGTGTGTAGATTTTACTATTTATTGACACGTAATGTGGCAAGTTCATAGAAAGGATTAATAAAATTTCTCAAATGTTAGAATTAATAATACAGATTATGTAATGTTTAAAATTAAAAAAAAATAAACTTGTAAAAAATATACATCTAAGTTTTCAGGTACGACACACTTATCATAATGCGAACTATTGTGTTGTTCATTACTGCACAATTCTTGAATTTACAGCGAGACATGAGGCAGAGCAATCTCTCAGCACAACTGATGGGAAAATACAGAATCCTCTGGCTTCACTGGAGCAAACTTGTTTCACAAATAGGTAAGTCTTTTCAGTATATTTCATCCGAATAATTCTTCAGTGGATAGTCTCGCAGATCCCTGACAGAATCTGCTGATGCGGCTATACGGACTGCAACTGTCAGCTTATTATTAAGCACTGCCATGCCACAAACAGATTTCTCTCTCATGATCACAGCAATGATCCAAAATATACAGTGAACATTTTAACAGGCGTGTTCAGGAAAGTAAAGGTAAATAACTTGTTAGTATTCATATTATTCGAACTGCTTACAAGATAATATAGTAAAACCCCGCGGGAACGGCCTCCGTAGTCTAGAGGTAACGTTCCCACCTCATGACTCAAGGTACGAGGGTTCAAACCCGGCGGAGGTGGTGGAATTTTTAAGGGCTGAAAAATTCAGGGAACAAGTCCTCAGAGAAGGACTTTAAGCCGTGGGTCCCGTGTCCAGATTTACGGCACGTAAAAGAACCTCAGGCCTCTAGGAGACCTCTGAGTTAATTTGGCAAATTTTCCCGCCCAAAGTAGCTTCCAATGCCTCCGGTAGATGGGGAAGTGTTAGGTACCACTGTCAGAGAAGCGGGGACCTCTCTGACAGAAAGGGACTAACTATTAGATACCACTGTCAGTAGAAGTTTGGAACCTCGCTGGCAGAAAGGGGCTAATAGCGAGCACCAGTACCGCTAGGGTATGGAGACAGTAGAAATTAAAAGGGGGACGCACAATGGACCAATAACTGGTCTAAGTGCATGGGGAAACCCACCCCCTCTATACTCAAAACTCAATACTCAAAACACTGGGGGAAGAGAAAATAGAAGGATATCTTTAGAGATGGAAGATCTGAATTTACAGGCGCTCCTGAGAATTCATGTAGTAACTTCATGAGATAATGAAGTTATTACATGAACTACTACCAAAGTGGCTCCTAGTCTCAATGGTTTCTGACCTATGGGAATTTTAAAGAGAGCTTGACTTGAGAAGTAATTTTTATTGAAAGTCTCATTCTTAATATGATAAAGATTACAAAATTGTATTTTACATTTTACGTAGCTTAAATTGTATATCCATACTGTCAACCGTCGGCACGTCTGCACATTCCGGTTCGAGTCACTACGAATGTGTAACCTTAGAATAACGTGCTCTGCGACTTCAAGCTTTGGCCGAAGATTTTCATCTTTTATGTCTTCCTTGCTTTCATGCGCTATGTATCTTACTAGTATATGATCCCGTACAACGTAATCTAAGAGGCTGGGATCAGGTTAACGGGTTGGCCGATCCACATCAAAGACACGGCTGATCCCTCGGCCACGGAGCTGTTTATTCAAATAACATATCACGTCTCTACTTAAGTGCACGCGCACTCCATCATTGTGGTTGTACATATGCAGTGGTTTCCTCAGGGGAATATTCTTCAAGAGCGCGGGCTATTCATTTTTCAAATATCCGGTTTAAATGTCATTATCAGAGGACTTCGTCGAAGAAGAAATAATTGCATTACAAATCTTGAATATAGTATTAATATGGACAGAGCACAGAAGGGCATTGTGAACACATTATGCACAGCTGTGTACACAGCGACTGTCATACACTTCCAGTAGAAATCGAAATACGGACGGTGAGAAAACAAATATTTTCACACCCTCATAGCAAATGTTACTGAACTGTAACGCTTCTCTTATGAACCTGATGAGGAGTTCAAACTCTACTACAGAACGACAACTTATTTTCTCTGTTGCTACTTCCTGAAATTACCTTAACGAGCGAAGCAATTTTAATCATATAAACACACCATCGTCACAAGCATTTAGGCCCTGTTACATCAGCCAATTAGTCCAACAAAATGAGATAAATATGTTTTTCTTGCTATATCTGAGTAAACAAGTACGTATTGTTACGAAGGCGACATGTCATATGCTTACCTATAAGGGCAGTCAAATGAAGACGGGTCACCACGCATAACTGACACGGTACGCATGTTGGTAACACTGGAATTTGCTTATGGTACGAACATCTGGAGGGAATTCGGGAAAGCACAGTGACAACGTGCCCTTGCATATTATTAGTTTGTTTATTGTGCTGGAAGTAAGGTTAACGCTACGTGTGGTCGTCCAACATTAGTAATGATGGCGGGTAAAAGAAGAACAGCGAAGTGTAGTGCGCCTTTTGACTGCTGAAGGAGTATAAGGAAGAGAAATTCGTCGTCCCATGTTNGAAGGAGTATGAGGACGAGCATATCACGTTCGCGTGTGCTGACGTGGCATAAGTGATTCCGAGAGGAACGTGTGTTACTGCAAGATGATGCTCGCCCAGGACAGGCTCATCGTGTCGTCAATCCTCATGTTATTGCTGCCCTGGATGGTCATATCCGGGCAAACCGACGGATCACTGATGAAGAAATTAGTCTTTTAATGGGAATAAGTCATTGTTCCGTACACGCTATTGTGACAAATCACCTGCTGTACCGCAAAATCTGCGTGCAGTGGGTTCCACATCAACTCCGGGAGGAACAGAAGACTCAGAATGGCTGTATGATTGGGTCACTTGCAACGATGCCATGAGGAAGAGTACGCTTTTCTGTTGGTGCCACCATTTTGAACCCGAGAGCAAATGGCAGAACCAACAGAGGAAACACGTGAATTCTCCCCCACCGAAGAAATCCAAAGCCGTACACACAAGTTCCGGTAAAGTGATGATGACGTTCTTCTTCGACTGCAAGCGTCCTCTGTTTGTCAAATTTTTTCGAGCATGGGGCCACAATCAGTGCACAGCGCTATGAAGACACTTTGCAGAAACTGAGACGTGCCGTAAAGTCAAAACGCCCTGGAATGCTATCGAAAGACATTATCCTTCTTCATGATAATGCGGGTCTATCTACAGACGCCGAGCAGTGCAGACGTGTCTTGTGCAGCGC